ATGATCTCCTCGTAGGGTTGAAAATCGCTTTCGCCGACATACGCGACAAAGGTCGAGCTCTCAAGAGTGTTGTCGTGGTTTCTCAAGCCGTTCCTGGGTCCACTACGCGCGACCAGGCTTTGAAAACCGAGAGAGGAAGAGATTTCTTGAACGCAATCAACGATATCATTGCACTTGGCACACCAGTCGTCCTTGCAGCGGGCAATGAGCGTGATGCAGATGAGGGCACACGCGAGGACATCGATTTGCTGCCGCAGGTTTTGGAACATCCGGATATGACGCCCATCATCAATGTCGGTGCCGCGACAATCTCGGGAGATCGAGTCGAAGACTCGCAGGGGGGACCTCAGCTATCTATTTACGCGCCTGGCAACCTGGTCTTTTCTCTTACGAGGGACAGCAGAAGTGAAATCTTCCAGGGCACCTCCGTCGGTAAGCTACTTTGCCCGTACCCATGATAGGATCGCTAACTATACATATAGCTGCTCCTGCTGTTGGAGGACTTATTGCGACATACTTAGGAATGGAGGATATCCCTTCCGAGTTCCGTGACTCAACCGGAATTGAGCGAGTCAAAGCGATTCGTGAATACCTCAAGTCCGACAAGTCAAGCTGGGTGCATAAACCAGGGACCGAGGTTCGCATGATCTGGAACGGAGCAGACGAAGACGCACATCGCGTCAGATTCGATTGTTACCCGGAGGTCAGTAGCGAGGATGATGGTACCGGATCCAGTGACTGTCTTGAATACATGCCTGCAACCCCGCCAGTTGTTCCGGCTCCCGAGCCAGAGTCCGTATCGGCTGGCTGCAGCGTCAAACCGTCGTTCGGTGGTGGGGAGTATACTGTATGGGGGGCAGGGTGGGCAGACGACGATGGCGCGAGACTAAAGCAAGACCTTGGTGGTGCCGGCGGCGGTGTCCAAGACTTCGTCTTCAATCGAGGTGCCGGAGATGGAGGACGTGAGTGGACGGCTACATTCGTCGGCTTGTTTGAAGCTTTGGCTGCTGAGGGTGTCATCGATGCTGTTGCAGGTCATGGAGTCAACGTGGTGTGTGCTGCTGCTTGAGCATACGATTGCTCGACCCAGCTGCTCCGTTTTGGAAAGTTGGCAAGCACTTTTCTTTCTGTCTTGCTTTGATCGGTCTTTTCTTCGGTCATAATCTTGGGTATCTGGGGCGATTGCTTTCATTCTAAGAGAGACAATTTACCTGTTCATGTCATGCCTAGCAGCGCTTGCACTGCGATTGCTGTTGCCAGGTTATCTGCCTTCGTCCTTGTTTGCCACCTCTGTAAGAATGACTGAACACTTCTCTTTGGCGTGTTCTTCTCGATTATACACAAGCGCCAATAACTGTAGAACTAGTGCAAGATCAGTTAAATTGTCCACCCCCTCCGAGCAGCGGGTCGCCCTCAGGAGGGGTAGACGGCGCTGTTGTCGTAATGCAAGGCCGCCACCTCTTTGGTGCCTGTCGAATTCACTATCACCCACAATGTATATATCTACTCGCTTTAAGAGTCTTGGTATTATATACATAACGATCATCAGAAAATCTATCCGGTCATTGCCAGAAGATATCTCCCACTGCCACTGGCCTTCACGAAAGGCAAATAGTCACTCTCAACATGCCCACTTCCGCCCCAACCAGGAGCCTGAACGAGATCCTCGCTATCATTCACAACCCCAACTTGACAACTGGCTACCCCATCGGCGATATCACGTACTACGCTAAGAACCTTGGAGCCGAAATCGTTCACAAACAAATCCAGCTACGCAACATCCTGTCGCCACAGTCAGGGGTTTTCGCAACACGCTGGGCTACGAAAAGAGCGCACCAACGAGTTGGAATACTCCAGCGAGTATACCCCGATATTCCCAGATGTCATCGTCCCGAGTGCTTCGGCGAGGACGGCTACCACTCCCTGGTGGCCTTTTCTGGCGTACCTTCTTTGGAACGAACTCTACCGTTCATCAACCTTGAGGACTTGGGCGACAAGACAACACTCTCAGCTCTAGTCGAGGCTCGCAGTCGTCAGCCGCCTCATACTTTTGCCACAACCGAGCGCTTATTCATGCCTTTGGGCTTTACGGACGATCATCGCGCGCTCTCACATGTGATTCGCCTCTGCGATAGGGACGGATACAGCGAATCGGAAGGATTTGAGAGTGTCACTGAGGCTGTAGACTTTGTAGACGATGGATTTGGCTTAGAACTTGGCAATGGTCTTCAAGTTCTACACGCTCAACAGTTCCTCTACTCTTTCTTGCTCCAGTGCGTTCGAATCGTCTTGTCGGATCATTTGGAACTATTCGAGACTGAGATCGATGACCCAGAGCCTGACGCGCTGGACATCGTTGATGAAGAGGATAAGGACATTGCGTTCTCCGAGGCTACTGCCATGACACCTTACCGTGGTCGCCATGGTCTTCATCTACACAGACTACGTCGCTGGACGTCGGACGCAGCCAATACGGCCAAGGATGAGATCTGGCAACTTCGCGAAGATCCATCGCAGTTCGAAAAAGCCTACAACAGTGCTGTCGACCATGACGTTGCTCAGGTGGCCGATCGCCACGGGAAAGCGCATCCTAATATCAAGAGCAAAGGCTTCGTCGCTAGCACCCTGAACATTCTAGTGGCTCGTCGTCACCGACGGTTGGTATGTTGGGATCAACTTGACGCTTATGCTCGGCGTATCGGTGAGCTTTTCTCTCTCCACCCGGAAGGTGTGCGCGCTTGGTCACTCGAACCCGAAGAACTCGTGGAGGCTATCCAGTCGTTCCACGTGCTACTCGAGCTCATGAAGCGAGACTTTCTCGAAGAAATGAGTCGATATTCGGCTAGCGAAGAACTTCGATCGCAGTTTGTGAGGCTTCCGCTGTCAACCGGATCACACCTGTCAGCACACAAGAACTTCATGAAAGATCAGAACAAGAAGGAGATTTGCCTTCTTCTTCAAGAGTTATGTGGTGAACTCAACAACAAGAGCGAGCATACAACGTCTTTTCTTGAAATCCGAGTACGTCTTGATATCTTAGAGACTTTCCTTCAAAAGAAGCCCAAATTACGAGACCTGCTTAGCACGCCGATCAAAGAGGCAATTGCACGGCTCTCGGTTCTGACGGAGTGCTCACATCTCCTTGAACTTCAACCGTGGAACTTCAAAGTCTGGAAGATGCTAGCAGTGACCGAAAGCGTCAAAGCCAGGGTCAACTCACGTGTGGCTGAGCCCTTGCAGGTGTGGGACCGTGTCCTCATAGCGGCCATGGATACTGGGTTTATCACTTCCCCAGAACTTGGTGATCCTTCCGATGGAAAGTTCACGTACCCTTACGAAGAAAGCAGACGGAAGAAGAAGGTAATTGATGCGCTGCGTAAAGCAGAGGCCAATTTAGACAGGTTCTGGAGAAGCTTTGATACGGATTTTCGGAACCGATCTGGAGGAGAGGACCAGGAGACCCTCCGCCGTCTTCTCGAAGAGCGTGGTGCTATGCGGCGAACAAAAGCGTGGGTAAACGATCGTCCCGAGAAAGAGACCGGTCACCTCTCTGCGGAAGATGTTTTCGAACCTCAGCCGGTATCTCAGATCTTCCACGACCCATCGAAAGAAATTACGGGAAACCTGGATAAATTTGCCATAGCAAAGAAAGCAAAAGACAAAACCCGTGGAACAGCTGCCGCCGTGCCCGCCGACGAGCCTGACATTGAAGATGAGCCCGCTCCCGATACGTTTGTCGATCCTCTTCGGCCGTGGACCCGTCTCGGAGACAATTCATATAAGGTTCTCAAAGCGCTTTTCTTCATCCCAGATGAAGACAAAGTACCAGGAGTGACCAAGTGGGCTGCTTTCCGTACGACGATGACCCATCTTGGCTTCTCCGCTGAACAAATGCAAGGTTCTGCGTGGCAGTTCACTCCATCGGAGCAGCTCAGACAGGACAGAAGTCTTGACAGGGGCATCTGTTTCCATGAGCCTCATCCGGGCAACGAGATGTCGCTTGCCATGATGCGGACGTTGGGTGCAAGGCTGACTCGCGCGTATGGTTGGGATGGCTCGATGTTCAACCAACAATAAGGTTGTCGATATAAACAACACGCGGTTCACTATCTTACACCAGCGAGATGTACGCTATCATCAATCTCGCGCGAATAACGAGTTGCCGCTAAAGAGAGCGAGGATCCTTGGTCGGAGGCTGACGCGGGCTTGCAATCGGGATGGCATCATGTTCGTACTATCGCGAGTGGAAAAACGCAGCGTCCATCTCGCGAGACAATTCTGAAAAACAGGATTGCGGGTAGTAGTAGGTTACATTCGCACAATAGGTTTGACAATGTCTAGCATCTAGTCGCGCTGGAACGCGTCGGAGCCAATGAGATCAGCGCAATATAAATGTGCAGCATGCATTTGGCTGGCGATGTGACAGCTGCTGTTGTAGTGTTTAGCTTACCCAAAACCTTTAACGGTCCTTCATGAGTGCAGATAGCCGATAGCCGATAGAAGCTTTCGAAGTCGTGTTTTGTATATCGTTCACGAGATCGTCGATCGACAATTCCGCCCCCAAACGCTTTCCCCTTTGGGCTCTAGCGCTGACGCTGACCCCCTGTGGAACCTTGGCATCTCCTCCGCACTTCGCGACTTCCGTCTTATCGCATACAAACAGATCTCTCTCGCATTATTACTGGGCAAACACAGCCCGCGTCTTATATGTCTAACGGCTCTCAAGACTAAGAGGCTCTGCCAGGTAACCAGCCGAGATTGGGCCGCCATGAGTGGGTCGCCGGGCGTAACGAGGCTATGCTGCTGTTTGTGACCGCTGCATCCGCAGCGCGTAACATGGAGCCAAGTCTTCCTGGGGTTACTATGGTTGCCTGAATGCACTCAGCCTCTAGATATGTCTTCCCCAAATACCTAGGTACTCTGCGCGATCTACAAATTCCAGTCAGACTGCCTAATGACCTGCGTGGGAGCCGCAATCCGGAGTTTAATGCGCAAACAGCATGTCGCATTCAAACACTAGTCCATCGTCAGAACCGCGCGAACGTTATTCATGGATATCGCTTCCTGAGAGCGATACCTTAAGCGGCATCACGCAGCATGAACACGCCGAACAGGGCGACGGCGTCGACCGCACTCGCAGGCCTGAAACCCGAGCTCAAGAGCAACGCGAACACACCGATTCGTCTCCTCATGCTGCTCAGGAAAACGAGACGCTTCTCTCCAGCCGAGCATCTACCGCACTCAGTGGAGCAATCGATGACCACTCGCTGGATGAGCCGCAAACAAGGAACTTCGATGATACCCATGAGCGTGAGTGCAACGCCGAGTACCCCAAGTTACTATGTCCGACATCTTCTGACGAGCTTAAAGCAAAGTTTCAAGATCAAAGCCTGCGGACATCCACAGAATGGGTGCCATACACGCTGCGGCGCCCATACCTGATCACTCTTAGCCTAGCATCACTCATACTCTCGACCGTATTAGCAGCCCTTAGCTGGCACTCTTATAAAAACCATGGACTCGGAGATGAGGATGGGTCTACTGGACTACTCATTGGATGGAGATATACGCCTACTATCGTCGCCATTTTCTTCACGCAGGCTGTTGTACAGGTTGCAGAGGATGTAAAGAGGACTGAAGCATACGCACGCATGGCCGGCCCCGAATCTATCGAAGCCAAGTTCACCCTATTCTATCTGCCCAAGGTCTGGTGGAAAAGCATCTTTGTAGGTTTCTCTCGAAAGCGGAGCGGCGGCCACCGGAGATGGAATCTGGCCTTGTCTTCGCTCGCAGCTGGTATCAGTGTGCTCAGCATTTCAACCTTCTCGTCGTCCGTATTCGTTGCGAAAGAAATCTTGTATGAGGAGGATGTGCAGCTTCAACGGTATGCCGCTGGCCAGACAATTGGCGAAGACTTGTCACCCATTCAGCTTTCACCTCGAAGGGATACGTATCTCCGAACTATAAGTGGATATCTCTTCAACGTATCTACATCTATCTGGTCGTCGAATTCGCAAGTCATTGTACCTTTTGGAGCATCAAATGGCGACAAGCGCCATGCAACGCTTCCGAACGGTATATGGCAAGCAGATACTGAGGTGTTCCATCTAAACTACAGTTGCACATCGATGGCTCTGGTCGAGAAGGACATAATCGATATTACCTACAAGTATACAGACATCCCGATAACGTCATGTCCAAACGACACATGTACTGTCTCCTCAAAGGGTTTCAAAGTTCGATCAGAGGATGGTTGTGAGGTCCAAATCCAAGGTCCAATCGCTCAATGGGATGCTTTGGGAGCCGAGTTGAACTCCGATGGCTTCATTAGCGATACCTTTACAGATGATGGCGGCTTGCTCTGGACCAACATGTCTTCCAATTACGTGTCGTGGGAGACACTTATTCGAGATTACGGTCAGCCTCCAGCAATTCGCTCCATTGGAGAGAAGGTCCTCGAGCAATGGTCTCGCACGTTCATTTATGGTTTCTCCGATCAATGCATTGGGCGTGACCTGCTACTTGTATCGCCTCAATGGATTGTCCGGCCGTCACCTGTCGATGTGCCCGTGGGTGTATGGGAGAAAGAATCATGGGACAACCTCACGATACGGGCACAAGTATGCACTCCGGAATATCATACAGCTAGCCTCCCAGTCTCTGCATCCATCGACGGCGCTGAAACTTCCATGTCCTTCGATGTATCAGAGTTTGAGCGACGCAGGCAGCCTGTGTCGAAACAAGCCATCGATTTCGACTTATTGGATGATCTCACTTTTCGCAGTGACAGTTGGGACAAGGTAAGTTCTGACTGTACGAAGTGCATGCGAGACATATACTGACATCGTACCTCTACCTCCAGTACATGGCCGTACCTCGTAATGTTCATGGTTCTTTTGAGGGTATATCGTTGCTTCTTGCTTCAACTTTCGCTCACAACGTATCCAATATTTTGGAGAACGTCACGTTAGAGGAAGAAGCTAGCAAACTTCGGATGCACTTCACAAAAGAGCTTTTGCTCTCTTCTCTCATAGAAGCCGACAACCCACAATTGGAAGATACAAAAGGGCTTGCTACACGCGTTAGGAGACGGATTCTGGTCGTCACTGAGGTTGCAATAACACTCGCAGTATTGTTCATGCTCTTGGCAGGCTACATTGCAGTAGCTGTATTCTACACATCGCCCAGGAAAAGACCACTCAACCTCCATTCAGATCCTGCCACCGTTGCTGGAACATCATCCCTCCTTGGCAGTACTTCGCTTTCTTCTACCACGTTCAGTACATTCCTTGGATATGAAAGATCGCGCACGCAAGGTCTTATCCAATCACGGGTATATCATCTACAAGGCGGCATCATTTCAGAGAAGGAAACGACAGGGGAGTCGATTGAAGGTAGAAAGCCGAATGTACTCGGCAAGACAAGCGAGCTTTCAGTAAGCCATCCCAGATCAAAAGATGGCTCTCAAGATGACTGGAGGCCTTCAATGCTCCTCAAACGATGGCTTCTTACACTACTGGCTACTCTGATCGCTGTCGCAACAACCATGTTCGTTCTTCGCAGATATGCACGAGAAGATAAGCTTTCCCAGACTGCTTTTACCTACCAGGTCGATTTGGGTTTATTCGACACGTCGTTCTCTCCTCACTCTGTCGTTGCAACGCTAATCGCCGTTTGTATTGGATTGAGTTGGGATGGTATCGATAAACCTATGCGAATTCTGCAGCCATATCTCTCGTTGTCGCGGAAACCCGTTGTCCCAATACGAGGAGCATCGTTGACTTACCAGTCTTCATACTGGATATGGGCCGCGGCAAAATCAGCGTCGCGGAAACATTGGATGCTTTGTCTAATAACTACTGGCACAACCTTATCACAAATCCGTAAGCATTTTCTCGCTCCGTTGAGTCGTGTAGCTAACCGTGTAGTCATCATCTCCATGGCAGCCGTCTTCGAAAGACAGACCGCATTGATTAGTCGGGAAACTTGGGACCCATCACATATTGATACACTTTGGGTGACAGCACCTTTTGAGCTTCTACAAGAGCCTATCGACTTTTCCAACCCAGGCGAACGGACGCGCAATTTCGACTTAGACGAGCATATGTTAGACTCATCCAATATCCAGTGGCTCAACCACGCGTTGGACGAGATCCTTCTAGAAGCACCGCAACTGGCGTGGACTAAGGACGAATGGACGTTTACCCCACTTGATATGCAAGAGCTGCCAAACGTCACAGTATCCTCGAAATCGCGTTCCGGTTCTGGGAGACATATAAGCTCCGATTCTATAGCGTCACCCGCAAACGCGTCTTTTATCACTTCCGCTATACGAAGTCGATTACAGTGCTCTCCGATTGCCGTACCAAACTCCGGCTGGCTTGACCAAGCCGCAGACGTTTTTCCCAATCGTACCAATGAAGCGCTACAAGGATTCGCATTACCAACTACTCTATTCGACGGCGAATCGTACAATACCTCTGTCTTCTCGGCCCGGAGACGGTTATCATGCTGTGCGAATGGCACAGATTCTGGTCAGCAAGCTGTCGTTGCGTATTGGAGCAGCAACAGCTCGATGATTGAACGTGTGGATCCCAATTTCTTCATACAAGAATGCACTTATGAACAACTTACCAATGGCAACTGCACGAGTGCCAATGCGCCGTCCGATTCCCTCAGTGAGGATGGACCAGAAGATGTCATCGTTCAAGGCTCTTGGTACCGTAACTTTACCATCAAGTGGATCGTGGGGCCAGGTGTGACCGCGAAGATATCTGGAGCTAATCCAGCTGCGAACCCGAAGGTACAACAAATTAGCGCACCGTACGGCTCTGCAGATGAAGAGCTTCTCTACTTCACGGAAGAGCCCAAGATGGCTATAATAGACTGTATCATGGTCATCGAAAATACATCCGCCAGTGTTACTGTAGCTAGGAGTTCTGGGAACGTTTTGGACTACAGCTTGGTGGCGGACCCACAGCCTGCTCTGGACGCATGGGATTACGCCTGGGATATCCTGTACCCTAGTCCAACATCCTACACAGGAAGAGGAAATGTCAGGTAAGGCATCCATCCAATTGAGTGGCTACCTCGAGCGTGTTCATCACGAATCAAGTGCTAACCACCACCGCTACTAGTTACGGCCATCTATTCATGACGCAGCTCCTCACCGCCCCACATATCATCACACCTCACATAGCACATTCCTGGCTATCCTACAACCGCAGTATCGAAGAAACAGCAAGCGAACGCTTCAACATTCGCGACCGGGATCGTGGCCTCAACGTCGACTTCATGTCCTACGCAAACTGGAACCTTGCCAACAAAGACACCGAATCCTTGCTAAATGCAACAACGCTATTACGACATTCCGAGAAGACTTTACAAATCTTCTTCAAACACTTTGTCAATAGCGGGTCGTCGAGTCTCAGCGGGCGCTGGTCATCTTCAGGGCCTGAGAGAGCAGCCTACCAGCGGGCCTCGTCACAGCCTGTGAATGGGACGTTTACGAAACGGGTTGAAGTTCTTGCTATGAATGAGACGGCAACGTGGCTCTCGCTTACCATACTCATCCTACTCATCGTTATCCTGGTTATTCTGGTTGTGAGCTTGCAGATCGTATATCCGAGCTCATGCATGCAACATCGCGTCGAGTGCTTGGCAGATGTACTGGCTATGGTTGCTGGAAGCGAGGGGCTGATCGGTTTGATTGAAGAGCAGGGTGTTGAAGGTTTTGCTAAGAGTGGTAGACTGACTGAACTGGGTTGGTTCAGAGACGCACGGGGAGATATTAGATGGGGTGTTGAACTCGTGGACGCAGAGGGTGTGGAATGGGTTGATGGACCGGAGGAAGGTACCTCAATGGGGCACACGGATGAAGAGTCATCGATACAAAGCGGAGAAGTAGAGGATGCGAACAGTGCGCTTTTGGAAAGCGAACGAAGGTCACCTTCCCCACGGCGTTCCGTTCAGGAGCAACAGACAGAGCCAATGCTGGAACCCAGCGATGTCGCCAACAACGCATCGAGGCTATAGAGCAATGAGACCCTTGACTCTCGACTAACTGGCCATATCTATTCCGGTGCTGTCTACGTGTATCCCATGCCCTATCCCGACACGTGTCCATCGACCTACCATACATGCATTTACTCGCCCAGTACAAGTGAGGCAAGCGAGGCGGAGAGGCCAGCCACACCGGAAACACTCGGCAGCCAGGCCCTCGCCAACGCGTACAGTACCGGCACTTTCCATTTTCCTTACCGTACCGAGGCCACGGTCTGGAATCTTGGGAAAAAGGAACGGTGGGTAGCGTCATGCCCGCAGTTGTAGTGTGGGGGTGAAACGACTAAGTGCTGTAGCCCGAATTAGGATGTCGCCTTATGCAGTCAGACAAAAGCATGCACGCAAGCTCAGGTCAGTGCTGGCGTCCTGCATCACATTTGCGGTGAACCAGTACAGGGTAACGGTGAGGAGGGTAGAAGAGATGTGATTGTGGCCATATCCTACACGATACCAGCAGGCTAGCTGCAGTATCCGATCTGAATAGATCCCACCATGCCATCTATCCGTCCCAACTCAGCTATGTAAGTAAGGAAAAGAGAGAGAAAGATCCATCGCTGCGTAGTTCATGATCCATACGTCCATCATCATAAGCGTCGTAGCCGTTGCCAACACATCGACCTCTGCTTACTTTTTTTGCGAAATAGCGGAACGAAAAAAAGGAAACCCCACCAAACATTTCTGCCACGTACATGATCCAGCCATAACAAGTAGAAAAGGAGATAAGGGTATTACATCCGCCAAAATCGAGGAAAAAGTGCCGAAAAGCCTCCGCGAGGAGCAGGTATAGTGCAGGGTAAAGAAGAAGTAAGAAGAAGGGGGGAATAATGTGGGGAACGCTCAAAAAAGGGCGCGACGAAAGGCAGGAAGAAGATAACCGTACAATCTGATCGGTCCAAACAAGAAGTTCAATGGCGGTGGCCGCCCTTACGCATTAGATGTTGGTGTGCGTGAGCGTCCCATTCTAGCAAACCATAAAAATGTGACCTGCACTGTCGCAGGGAACGCAGCAAGCATACAAACATGAAATGCGAGTGGGCAATAGTGCCAAAATCGAACTTGCGATGAATAAACCGATCCGAACTTTTTTGTTGAGCAGGTCTGCCAAAGAGGCATGTCCGCGCTCGTAGAAAGCTTTTGATATGGGAATCATCCACCCAAGAAAAAAGGAAGATACAAAGAGATCTGCCGCGCAGGGCAGAGGATGGGAAGTTACGTGTGGCCAGCAGGAAAGAGAGTCAAAGTCGAGCTACGCATCTTCCTTTCGCGCGCGAGTGTCTGAGGTTCGGAGACCCTTAGTTGTAATAATGCGAACTGGTGTTGGCGCGGCGACGCAAAGGTCGTGGCACCTCAACAATTCGATCATCGTAAGAATCCCGTACTGTTCGGCTTTCGCGCCTTCTACGGTCGCTGCGCATGCTTGCTTTGGTCATCTCCTCTAGCTGGCTCCGCGTTACAAGTGCCTGTCCGTCACCTGCGTTGCTGCCTCTTTCACTGCTGTGATAGTTGCTCTCATTATCACGACTTCCACTGATGACAAGTTCTGCCATGCCGTCCTCGGTCGGGATGAGTTGCATGGTGCGACCCTCCATGTCGCCGTTGAACTGCAGGCTGAGTGGGGCGTTCGCATCAACTCGGAGGCGAATCTCATTATTGCCGTTGCTCGTAAGAGCGGTGCGATTAGACTGGCTTTGCCTATCGCTTCCAGAGGAGCCGGAATGAGAGGGCATTGAAGGCACCCTCGAAGCTCTCTTTGCAGCACGATGAATGTGATCGTTCAACGGGGCATCCGTACCACGTTGGTTGTTCATGTAATCTATCGCCTGAACTTCTTTGGGTTTGCGTCCCCCAACATCAGTAGGTCGGCGACGGCGGGGAGCAATTGGGGGTTCGGGGACGGCGGGAGCGACGGGTTCGTCAGATTCGTACTCCTCCTCGCTATCATCGAACGCTGCAGGAGGCTGGTAGTAGACCTTGGAGTTGCGCTTTTCACGTTTGCGTTCTTGCTCGGCCCTTGCAGCCTGGTCAGCCTGATAACGCTCTTCGAGGGCTTTCCTTGCCCGTCTAGCAGCCTTGGCTTCTCTCTGGGCTTGGTCTTCGGCTGCGAGGCGTGCCTCTTCCTGCTGCCTCTCCGCGACGAACTCTGCATACTCCTTATCCCTGGCAGACTGTCCGTAGTGAGCGGATCGACGCCGCTCAGCCTTGGTGCTATCGCCCACATAGACCGAGCCACGCCGTGC